AGAGAGGCAGAGAGGCAGAGAGGCAGAGAGGCAGAGAGGCAGAGAGGGAGAGAAAGAGGCAGAGAGGCAGAGAGGCAGAGGCAGGCCAATCTCTATGGGTTCAAAGCCAGCCAGATTTGGTAGCATGTTTCAAGCCAGCGAGGAAAACATATTGAATCAAATACCATGCCCCCCTCCCCAAAAAAAGAAGAAAGGAAGGAAGATAAGAAAGACCTGGACTTGGGAGGGTGACACTGAGATTTTAAGAAGTTTCAGAAGTAAACTGGGAGATAGATGTGATCATATTCCATTGTATACCTATATGAAATTCTCAAGAATAAAGGGAAAAAAGGTGAATCATTTTCTAAAAGCGCCTAATAAGTCATGCCTCAACTCCAGCCTCCTTGTGACCCTTATGTGAGTAAGGGCCCTCTGATTGATGTTTTTATCCCTAATAGAACTCCCTTCCCCAGCTCTGGCTGTTCAGGTGTCTTCTCAAGGAGAGAATTCTGTGAATTAAAGGAAGAGGTAAGCAGATGGACCAGCACATCCTTCCCCTAATAGCTAGGCTTAGCTGTAGACTCAGTGGCTTCACAGCCTCCAGATCCTGCATACGATGAATTCTCATGGATGCTCTCCCAACACCCGCAGATGCTCTTCAATTCATTGTACCTGTCTGCTTAATCAATAAACTCTGACCTAACCTAAAATTCTTTTGGTTGCACAGTCTGGCAATACCTAAGAGAAGACCCATCCGACCTACCCTCACCCCCACTCCCATCCTCACCCCCAAGACTCAGAGGGAAATTCAGCATACATATGGAGTTGTACTCCCCAAAGAGAGGCAGGCTGTAGGACCAGAAGAAACAGCTCACTCCAAAGTACTGAGACACAGAGCTCAATTAATAGGTGTGCTGTTAAGCCACCATGTTTGGGGGAGTTTGTTCTGCACCAAAAGCTAACAGGTAAGCTAAGCATGATGGTTCCCGCCTGTGGCTGCAGATCTGGGGAGGTGGAGGCAGGAAACTCAGGGCCCTATAGCTATCTTCAGCTACACAGAAACTTCTAGACTAGCATAGGAAGCTAGGGTGTAGCCCAGTTAAGAGAGTGCTTGCGTAACATGCAGAAGCCCTGGATTTAGTCCCCAATAGTGCGTCTAAATCGGTGTTAAAGTGCGCACCTGCACTCCTAGCACTTGGGAAACAGTGATAAAAGGATCAGAAGTCAAGGCCAGCCCCAGCTACATAGCAAGTTTGAAGTCAGCACAGGCTGCATGAGACCTCGTCTCAAAAACAAACAAACACAATTTTAAATGCTAGCTGCCATGACAGCTAATAAGAACATCACCAAGGAACAAAGCAGGTCCAGTGTGTGCCCTGCCTCAAGTGTTCCTGAGACCCCTTCATTCCATAGTGGCCACCAGAGAGCACAACATACCTTTTCACAATCTGAGACAACTGTTGACCAGGGCTCCTCCCAAAGACCCAGATCTCCTGGCCAAGACAGGAGACTGTCCAGCTTAGGATCTAAATGACAGAATTCCCTAAGCAACAGAACGCACCGCAGAAAAACAGTGACTGCCATCTCAAAAGTCCCATGCCCAAGGCCACCCAACCAAAAAAAGGTACAAGTGATATTCAAACTCATACCTCTGTGACTCCAAAGTCCCTTCTTCAGGGGACACCAGTGGTGGCTACACTTGGGCTAGATCTTAAAGAACTAGCAGTTCTAGGAACTAGGGCCACCCCAGGAGAACTCAGTCTATGGTACCAGCAAACTCAGAGTATCTAAACAATCTCATCTCATCTAGAAGCAAAGTTTGTCCACTTCTGGAGGCCCAGACAAGGAAGATCCTGCTGTCTCCATCCCAGCCTGGAACCTGCTTATCACAGCAAAAGCCAGGATACAGACCTAAGAGTCACCCACCTTCCCCATAGCCATTGCCCAGGGTCTTGCCATGCAGACCGTTAGAATAGTAGAAGCCATTGTAAAATGGTAGTCCCAAAACACACGAAAGTGGTGAGAGAAGGACAAGGAACAGCAGGCCCATCCTGGCCGAGGTGGTGGCAGTTTCAGGGTGTCTTGGATGAGGCTGGGCCCTGGGAAAACTGCAGAGAGAAGAAAAACAAGACAATTACAGAAACCCCACTCTAGGGGGCTGGGATTTCTCTGTTCAGCATCCTACACACACACAAACAAACACACACACACACACTCAACGGCACATCACAGAGAGGCTCCACCTGTCAGGCGCTGTCATCAGTGTAGCAGGCAACAAAAACAAGCTAGAAGACAGTCTGCCTTGTGGGGAAGAACTACATCCATGGGCATAAGCACAGAAGAAGCACACCCAAGCTGTTTGAATTTCAAAGGCTGTGGATAGGGAGCACTTTTTAAGGAAAACAGAGGCGAGTAGAACAGAACATGACAGGGCGGAGTTTCATGTTTAGTAACAATAAGTCTGCACTGGAAACTTTGTTTCAACACCGAAATGTCTGCATGGGGAGGGCTGTGACAATGTGACATCTATTTTAAAGACTAGATCAAGATAAAAAATCCGGGTAAGATGACTCAGTAGTAAAGATGCTTGCTATGCAGATATGACAACCTGGGTTCAATCTCTGGCAGCCACATAAAGGTGGAAGAGAACCAATTCCACAGTGTTGTCTAGCCTTAACACATGCACATACACAGGTGCACACGTATATACACGAACACAGATGCACATGCACATGAACACATGCGCATGCACACACACATACAAACACACACATACACACTTCCACATGAACTTTTAAGAAGTGTGAAAACAAACAAACAAACAAAAAAAGAAAACACACCAGGGTTTCACGTAGTGCAGGCTTGCCTCAAACTGAGCACATAACAGAGGGTGGTCTTGAACTCTTAATCTTCCTGCCTCTATTTCAAAAAGTTTTAGCAATCAAAGAATGATATTTCAAAAACAAAATAAACACCCTAGAGCCCATGGGCCAGATGCCTCTTTTTAGTGCCCACTAACATAGGAATGGCTCCCCAAAGTGTTGGTGTTTGGTGGTTTGGTTTGGTTTGGTTTGGTTTGGTTTGGTTTGGTTTGGCTTGGCTTGGCTTGGCTTGGCTTGGCTTGGCTTGGCTTGGCTTGGCTTGGCTTGGCTTGGCTTGGCTTGGCTTGGCTTGGTTTGGTTTGGTTTGGTTTGTTGTGCATACCTATAATCCCAGCATTGGATAGGTAGAAGCAAGGAGGATTGAGAGTTCAAGGCCATCCTAGATCACATATGGAGTTTGTGGCCAGCCTGGGTTACACAAGACCTTATCTAAAGATGGGAGCACCCAAACAAACATTGAATCTGGGCAGTTTTTGAGGTGGAGTGGACAGACTGGTCTTCTTAGTAGGGCATGGACACTACAAGGTACAGGGGCCAGGGACAGGCATAAGGGACACTCTCCATTTGTTCCTGTGTATTCCAAGTCCACTGTCACCATGGATCTGCCCCCATGGGTCGCTTGCCATGCCCCATCCCCAGCCTTCTGACTTCCGGTTGGATTAAGTGAGTAGGAGACAGTGATGAGATGTGAAAGAAAGAAGACCCGCCCCCTCCCACCCCAGCCATCACATCCTTCGCTGTCTGTCTCAGCAGCCTCCAACGGCTCTGTTATCTCTATAGCTCTTCTCTAGAAGTGCTCCCTTGATTAAAATCTTCTTGCTGCAACCATGTGGAGTGAATTCTGCTTCCTGCGCAGCCCTGACTGATGTGGGAGAAGAAGGTGAGTCAGTCAGCAGGGCCTCTGTCTGGAAGCCTTGGGAGGAGGTGAACCTAGATGACCTGCCCTCTGTCCTGATAACGCAGATGAAAGGCTTCAGGCAGGGTCAGACTCACATCTTAGAGCCGGCCTTCTGGAGGCAGGCAGAAGGCAGGCTTCCATGCAGCACAACCAGATTGCCCGCAGGCCTTTGCAACTAGAACTGGATGGTTATCGTAGAGGAATGTGGGAGGATGCTCAGGGTGTCATTTGTGACGACAAAGCAAAACACAATTGCCACACTGAATTGCAAACATGTGGCCTTATGAGAATGTCTGTGTACAAGACCAGAGAAGGCAGGGGCTCCAAAAGGAGAAAGAAAGAAAGAAAGAAAGAAAGAAAAAAAGAAAGAAAGAAAGAAAGAAAGAAAGAAAGAAAGAG